CAGCACTGAAATGTTTTTTGACAACGATAATTTACCAGTGTTTCTTGAATATTTTCCTTGTTCAACCAGTAGAACCGAACGTACAAGTGCATCAGAAGACTAAGCGAGTTTTGTGTAGAAATGCTCTGTTTACGGGAAGTTATTTTGCATTCGCAAGCGTCAACAAAACTGCGGCATCAAGTTCACAGTTTGATTATCATAGCGATAGATAAAAGCTTTGAAAATTCAATTGAAAACATTTTAAACCACCCGTATTTGTATAGAATATATGTTAGTTGTATTAACATTGAACTTCTTTCTGTTTGAACCCAAATTTGTACTTGTTTTGCGTTTGACAAGGCTGTCAAGCTCGCGACGATTGGCTTTAATACCGATAGTCAGGGATGACTACAGATTTAGCGTGTCAAATGTCTTCTTGTTTGTGTCAAGATTATAATATTCTATAGTTGTTCAAACGAGATATTCTATACACTGGAAACGTAGAGTACATTTTACTTTGTCTTTGTCCCAAGCAAAAAAAGTATAAAGATTTAATAAACAGGCATTCAAAAATATACAACAATCACGAACGGAACATCTCGTAATATTTCTTCGGGGAAATCTTCAAGTTTCAATGGAAATCTGGTGCATGCGCAACAAATTTCCCAGCTGTTAATTCCTATAGGAATTTTCAATGCCTATAGGAATTCCTATAGGAAATTTCAATTCCTATAGGAAATTTCAATTCCTATAGGAATTCCTATAGGTATTTTTTTTGACCATTTTCAATTCCTATAGGAATTCCTATAGGAATTTTCAATTCATATAGGAATTTTGATTTCCTATAGGAATTCCTATAGGAAATTTTCGTAACCATAATGCTGCTACCCTTGCATCGAAATTGTACATCATCAAAAATCAAAGGGACAGCTTGAAAAATCAAGGACTTTCCAAATGACATGGGCAGATTAACATACACATGTTTGCCTGAAAAGTATTTCTCCAGCGCCTCTACTTGCTCAGGATACAGCTCCGGCACATTAAACGTAGAACAAACTGTTTTTAGGGCATTATTCCAACAATATTTGGAATACACTTCGGCGCCATGTTGTTTTTTTTTTCAAATGTTAAAACGATTATACACAGGATAATTCATGCCAAAATTAATTCAGCAAAACAAGCCAATCATAAATCGTGTTAGATTGTCATTATGGCTCAACCCTTGTTAAGCCAATCACAAACAACTACTTATTTTCGCGTTATACGTCACTGTACACGATTAACTTCCAAGATCAGCAGACTGAATTTTGCAACAAATTTGGGCTGCAAGCAGGCTATCGTCAGCTCACAGCCAGCACAAAGAGAACCCTGCGTACGAGGTTGCCACTAAATATAGAAAAGTCAAATTATATTATTTTCCATACAGCGCAAAGAAAATTAAATCATAATGTTCCCCTGAATAATACTGAAATAGAACAAAAAGATTACATAAAATACTTAGGTGTATTAATTGACTCAAAGTTATGTTGCAAACCTCATGTTCAACACATAGCTAAAAAATTATAGTATTGGGATTTTGTCAAAACTATGCTACTATCTTAATATTGATACCTTATGTAATGTATATTATGCTTTGATCCATCCTTTTTTTATTTACGCAATTATCGTTTAGGGTAATACATACACAATAAAACTATTCAACCTATTTTTATACTGCAAAAAAAGGCAGTTCGGATTATGACATTTGTTAGTAAGTTCGATGACCATTCAAGTCCAATTTTCAAAGTGTTAAATATTATCAAGCTGTTTGATCTTGTAACTATGTACCTTGCAATTTTATGTTTAAATTTCATCATCGAATAAATGTTACCTCTTGTATTCGAATCTGTTTTTACTCCAGTAGAAAATGTTTATAAATATAATACATGTTCAGTGGCTAATCAGTCATATTATCTCCCAAGTGTGAAAACAAATTATGTTAAATTTAATATACAATTCTAAGGTCCTAAAATATGGAATGAAATTGATATTTACATAAAGGAACTCTCTTTAAAGAAATGTGAAGCATGCCTTGAACAAGACTACCTGAGCAAATATTAAAGGGGGCTATAATCTTGCACAGTTTTAGGTTTTCTGCAGACATAGCCAGCAGCATAAGCAACAACCGATTTATCAGAAGCTGTCAGCACGGTATTGTTTACCAAATTCACCATTGTATTTGTCTGCAATTTCCAAGGCCTTCTTGATGGAAATGGACTGGAACTTGTTGATATTCTTGTAGACCATTGAAATTATCCTCTACAGGAAAAGCTTTTCATCTGTAATGCCACAGGCTTTCATGCCTCCCATCCAATGAGCAAATAAAGGCTGTGAGACTTTGAACTCCATCAGTTGTTGTGCGATGTACCTTGGCCTAGTTGAAGTTTGTGTGAGGTGATTGAAGGCAAAGATGATTTCCATACTTTTTGTGTGACCTCTTTAATCAAAATCTCGACAGTGGACGTGGCCTTTAGTTTAGTTCATAATTGTTTATTCAGTTCCTCTGCCTTCAGTTTTAATTTTGCATACTGTGCACCTCTTATGGAAATTATATCAATTTCACAAATTTCTTCGAGGGGTTTCACAAATTTCTTCAAGGAGTTTCAAAATCACTGGGAAACCATTGTTGGTAAAATAATCATCCACTCCGAGACCACTCAAAACTTCCCTCGTTTTGATTTGATGCTGGAACATAATATTTTGATGCTGGAATATATATTTGATGATTATGTTATATGATGTATTTCCATTATATGATATATTTCCATTACAAATGTTGTCATCCCGATAGCCTGCTGTTAACAAGAAGAAAAAAATTTGTTTATGGTGACGATTTGGCCGCCAAATTGAATTTTGTACACTGTATACAGAATACAGTCCTCGCAATTTTGATAAATCTTCGGCAGCAAAAAATTGCCGCCGATATTCACCGCGATGTATTGTAGTATACTATAGTATACTACAGAAAGGATCGGCTGATAGCCGTATTGCCGGCTGGTAGCCGTGATGTATTGTAGTATACTACAGTATGCTACTGACAGGCTCGGCTGACACTCATATTGCATTGTAGCATTGTATTACAGTTAAATAACCCAGGCTGGTAGCTGTGATGTTTTGTAGTATACTATAGTTAGTATACTACCGACAGGCTCGGCTGACACTCGTATTGCATTGTAGTATTGTATTACAGTTAAATAACCCTGGCTGGTAGCCGTGATCTATGCCGTGATGTATTGTAAATATTGTATTAAAGAGTAGATACGGCTCCGCTGGTACTGTACCCTTGGCCATGTACAATGGTGTAAGTATTTACGTAATCATAAATCGTGCTGGCTAAGAATAACCTCTTCAGCGTGTACGCTGAGGGTCGTGAGTTCAAATCTCAGAGTGAGCGCGAATAATTCTCAATTTTTCTCTTTGCCTTAATTTTTTTTCTCGTTTATTTACCTGTTGCATAGCTAGCTGTATGCATTGGGAAGACAAATATAGATGCATTTCGATGATTTTCGGAAAATTTAATGTAATTTTGGTGGCTTTCTGCTTGTGAAACATTCTAGAACCAGTCTCCGAAATGTGCGTATTTTTTGAATGAATAGTATGCTATAGTACAGCCCGGCTGGCAGCCAAGCAATTGGAGACAAAATTTTCGGCTGTCAGCCGGCGTCAAACATGCTAATTGGGTGCGATATTTCGAAGTTCAGTGGAATTTTTTTTGTCACTATAAAATGACACTATGACAGAGAACTGAATTATTTTAATTTATAGTATTCTCTTGACTCGATCTGCTGATTAAAAGTGTTTGATATTCGAGGAAACGTTGTTTTACACACAATAACATTGAGACCAGCTATCAATCTTTTAGTTTTAACTTTGTTACGCTACGGATGTTATTCTAAAATTGTTGGTACATAGCAACTGGTTAGAACAACATTGTGTTCAGGCAGGTGAGGGTAAAAAGGAATCCTGAAAGTAAACATTACTTGTAAGCAGAATATTAATAAGAAGAGAAAAACCTCAATGACAAAGGTAACTTTCACTTTTTTAACATATATATATATATATATATATATATATATATATATATATATATATATATATATATATATATATATATCGATCACATGATTGTACGACTCCAGCGAATAATCCTGCCTTGAGCTACGAAGTTGCAGAATTCGTTCCAAGGTTTCGTGGTTCAGGGACATTCGCTCTTTGGATAAGAAAAGACGTTCAGGGACATTTGTCTCCGTGGATAAGAAAAGATGTGTTCACTTTCAGCATTTGATAGCGGGATTGCGATACAAAGTTCCGCAATATGCAATATGTTTCTCAATTCAAGTCCATGTTTAAGCTTGAACAACTGCGGCCAACATTGAGCGGGTGAACACTTCGACAGGAATTTATTCACATGAGTATAAAAGATTCTAAATTCTGCTTTCAATCGGTTAAGATCACAACCACCTTGCGGAGAGAAGACTATTGTATCGATCCTTGATAATCACCACGTTTTCAAACAGCTCTTTGAACTCGGTGTAACTGTAGGATTCGGTTTCCAGAAATTTGACTGTGGCATTAAAGAACTCATCCTGTACAATTGGCGCATAACGTGTGGTTAGTGACTCCGCCAGTTTGTCAAGAATTGCTGTTAACTTGCTGATGACCTCTTCCAATGAATCATCACTGTTGCCCTACATCAGATAATTGTGAAACAAAGAATGCAAATTCCCAGGGTTGGCAGTAACCCGAGTGTCAGGCCGTACTTTTTAGGGCACAGACACGCCTGATCACGGGCGAAGGGGAGAAAAGTACGGCCTGACACAAAACCGGCATTTTTCCTGGTTATTCAGTCCAGAATCTGGACTGAGCGTTGATTGGATGAGACCACTCAAAATATTACGTCACCGGAAATGATCATCAAGATTCTGTAAATACAGTATAAATCTTGACTCTTGAGTTAATTCTGGTCTTGGCGAAGTATGTTTATGGCGCACGACCATTTTAAAGTTGCCTTAGAAGCGGCACTCAAGTTTTTTCCAAACATTAAATTAAAAGAAGAGCAAGAAGTTTGTATTCGGAGCATAGTTTTGGACAAAATGGACGTTCTTGCAGTTCTTCCAACAGGATACGGAAAGAGTATCATCTACCAAATACTCCCCAAGGTTATATCCGAATTGCGATACAACCATACAAGGGATAGAAAGACAGCTATAGTTATCGTGGTCAGTCCACTCGAGCAGATTCGTAAGCAGCAAGTAGAAAGACTGAATGCAAGGGGAATCAAATCTGCTTCGCTCGAGGATGTTAAGGCTAGTGACGATACAATGCTTTGCGAATTCGAGGTCCTTTTCGGAAGTGCTGAGCAGAGGTTATCCGATAAGTGGGTTAAGACCTTAAAGTACGGCTACCTCTACGAAACAGAGGTATTGGTAGTAGATGAAGTGCACACAATTCAGATATGGTAAGAAGTATTTCTGATTAATGAAATATTATGTATAGTTTTCAATTATAAACATATTGTTGTGCCTGCTAATACGTGCCAATTAGAACGTTTATACAAGAACACAGTCATGACTGAAGCAATATAAGAGCTTATGGTTTTGTTTATCCCCTTTTCGTAAATATGACCTAAAATATTACTGAAATTTTCAACTTTTGTAAGCTTTCATCTTGTTTATGTTTTAATCTTGTCTACTACAAGATTACTTAATAATTACACTGCTATTACATTGATTTATTTGTTGTTTTAAATGTTTTAGGGGGAGTGGGGAAAAGGGAAAAGCTGCCTTTCGGAGAGCATTTAGTCATGTTAATGACTTGCGTTCATTCTTGGGTAATAAGCCTGTGTTGGGGCTAACAGCAACTGCAGACAAGTATATGAGACAGAAACTTTGCAAACTTTTAAACCTAAAAGGGCACAAGGAAATTCTGATCAGTCCTAACAGGCAAAATATAAGATTTACAGTTGCAAATGCTGATAAGAATCTTTCATGCTTTGACTGGCTAGTGAGCATTCTAAAGTCACTAAAAGAAGATGCACCATATACCATAATATTCTGCCACACTGTTAGTGATATTGTATTTGTGCTAAGTTCACTCATGGCCAAGCTCCGCAATGATGCATATGTTGATGGAACCACCCAAGAGAGATGCCTTTTAGGGGTATATTACTCTGCCACTCCAGAATCTGAGAAGCAAAAAATATGTACATCATTTAATGGTACTGGAACAGTAAGAGTGGCTATAGCTTCAACATCTTTAAGAATGGGAGTGGATTTTCCACATGTGACCTATGTGATTCACTTTGGACCTGGTAGAAGTCTTGTTGACCATCTGCAATAGGCAGGGAGAGCTGGTAGAGATGCCAAGCAGTCATTTAATATAATATTTTATTAAGGGAAGCACATTAGATTCTGTGACCAACCCATTAGAGATGTGATAAAAAAGAATGATTGCATACGGAAACTTCTGCTATGTCATTTCACTGAGGATAATATAGATGTGTCAACAATGCATGACTGCTGCAGTAGATGTCATAAATTATGTGCATGTGGTGGTGATAGTCAATGCACAAATCCAGTTTACGAGTTTGATCATATTGTGGTTAATAAGCCCACAACTAATACGGCTATGCAACGAGTGGTGACAGAGGATGATAGAACATGTCTTAAAGAGGCATTACAAGAAATCCAACTTTCCCTTGCTGTGAGCTCTGGTGTGACATTATTGACTCTTTTGGCCTTATTACACATGGATTTTCAGACAATGTGATTGAGTCAATTACATTCAACTGTGAGAAGATCTTCAGTATCCATGACCTTATGGAATATGGATTTATTTCGTCGATTCATGTGGCACTGATCGTACTTGAAGTTTTCTATGAAATATTTGAAGATGTTGTGATTGATGGAAGTCTTCGTAATGTTCCTGCATTGACAAGACCTGTGTACAATGCAATTCTAAATGCTGCTACACCATATGAGACTGAGAATCATGATAATCCTGCATCCTTTCATAGTGATGATTCATTCAATTAACTGGATTGTTATGGTCATTGCATGTTTGATATTTATATTTATTGGCTTTGCTATGATAAAGACATTGTTGTGCATGTAATATTGTATTAAGCAATTGACCAAAACGATAAAGATGGCAGATGTACATTTTAAGAATTCTTTGCAGTCAGAAACATGCATAAGGCAGGTTAATTTTTTCATTGTGCTAGAATTTCTCTTCATTAGGTGATTTCATGTCATCTTCATTCAGTCATTTGCTCTTGATGCTTGCAATGCATTCTGGTAAAATGTACATGCTGCCATCTTTTTCATTATTATCAATTGAAAGTAAATTACAGGTAATTTATCCACCCCACTTTTTAGTATTTACTGGCTTGTAAACAAGTATTACAACAATATTAATGTATGAATGACAGCTTACTGTATTATTGTTTGTTTGCTGTTTCATAAATCTCTTTCCAATGTTTAAGGTGGTTCTTTGCCCATGTGAAGAAATCCCTGTATTCAATATCAAGAATGTTACTCTTGCAACGTTCGAAACCTGGATGATATCTCCCGGAAATGTGATCAAACACTTTGCCTTGTAACAGATCTGCAGCAATGGACTTGACAGATTCATCTTTATTTTTCTCCCCATCATAACCACTGCGATGGGATTTTTCACACTCGTGTTAAATGGTTTCCAACACTGTATTTGTTATTGTTAAGCTTTGTGCACATCGCTGAGCTGCTGCTTTAGTGATTTTTCCACCCATTGCATTGAGGAGTTTTTTGACATCTAAGTTAACATGTCCCATATGAAGGTCTAGAGGAATGTTTCCTGCTTTTTTCCCTTTTTTTTATAAATCTATTATGTACAAGGAAATATGCATCTTTTTTTGACAAAAGTGCATTGACTTTTGCAAAAAATAGCAACAAAACATAAGCATATTTAGTATGCTTAAACTTGTACTCAAATAGTAAAACTATCTTCAAACACCGCACCAGTCGGCTGCCATCCCCTTCCTTTGTTGCATCCATCATATTTAATACTAGGAGACCACATTGTATAACCTTGCATTGTGATAGTTGTAGATATTGTCATTGGAGGTATTTGCATTATTTCCTTCATCATTGGGTGGTTCTTGATCTTTTTCTGCTTCATGGAAATGTTCCACCTGATGCAATTGTTTTTCATGTCTGTTTAAAAAAGTAGTATTTTATAAAGATCGAGTAATAAACTCTGATGGTGATTCATGTGCTAGGTAATGATAGCGAAAGAATAAAATAATCGGTTCAATTTGGTGCAAACACTGCCTGGCCTTACTGTTAAAGAATAAGTAATGTAGTAACATGTAGGGCGCAATGTAACTTGATAGGTTAACAAGAGAAATTAATAGATCAACTTGCTAACCTATCAAGTGAAACGAATTTCTTCATAACTAGGATCATTGTATTACTTTGTTATACCCTCACTTCACTCTTCTTTAATAATAGGGGTTTTTTTTCAAGAGAAAGCCAATCTTTCCATTTTTATCATTACCTTTCGTGTGGCATTAGTAGTGAAAATATGCCCACACTCTTCAATCTTGCACTTGTAATAACCCAAGCTGTCCCTGTCATGGTCACCATCATTTTCAATGTCCAATCCAGGATGCTGTGATAGTTCATGCTTGTAATGAATATTTTAAATTATTAGGATATTTAACTTTGCATAACACTTTCTCATATATGGGTGCTTAGGTCAATTCACGATTGATTCTTGATCATTTATAAACGAAGACATGTGGGAAGAATAATTTCTCTCTGCCACTGCATATACCTTACTCTACTTGAATGTAAGGAGAATACAGTTTGGCAGTTGGAACTACGACAAGAATGCCCTCCCTATGAGCTGCATCAATATTGCTAACCCAATTGGTGAAATCTTCTTGCTTTAGCAAGACACCACTTGAATTCCTTGGCCTCTGAAGCCAACCATGAAGACTTTTCTTCAACAGTCCACGTATCTGCATCTGCAGAGATTGGCCTGTTTTTAGGGATGTCTGTAGAAACATAATTCAAAATGTTTCTTCTGTCTTATACATGTTAAGATACATAATAAATATGCAGTTGACTGTAGATAAATAAATAGAGAAAAAAAGAATACCAGCAATGAAAAATGTTTTTAAACATTAAATGAAAAATATAAATTTCTTAAATGGTTGGCTTTATACCTTTAAAATTCTCAATTCCAGCAAAACCCATCCACTTTGCAATAACGTGTGCCTCAGTTTCTCTGTCCATGAACTCTTTGAATGAATTATAGTCCTTGTCCGGCCCTTTCTTTGCATTCGTCTTTCCACATCGGTTCATTGATGCATAACTAGTTCCTATGCTACTAGCGGACTCTGCGTTGACAAACAAATTGAACATAATCTTGAAGAAAAAAAAATAATTGAAATTTTAGTTCAGGTAGAAATTTGCACTCTTACTTATCCTAAGTATAGAAAATATCTTTAGGGAATTTAGAGAAGAGAATTTTAATATTAATATTAATAAGCAGCAAAGGTGAAGCCAACCCAACAATTTGGTCCTGCTATATATGCAAATTTTAAATCATCATTCATTTCTTTAGAAAGTGACTGTTTCAAAGTCTATGAACACTAAATAATAGCATAGCAGGACGAAATTATCGGGCTGGCTTTACACTGTAAGCACATATTAAAGGATCTTCCCTTGACACGTGAAATAGTCTGGTACCGCAAAGAGTAAAATAACATCGTAAACCATTTGCCTATTAGAATAGCATTCTTACCATAAGTAATTTTTTCCCAAGATACCAATCAGCAAAAGCAGTTTCAAAGCCAGCCAAACGTTCGTACTCTGTTTCTGCAAGGCTATTTGCTAATTGTGCATTCCTGGCCCTTTCCTCTGTCAGCTGGTCACCATCTAGGAAGGTCTTCTGTAACACATACTTCTGTTTGTTAACTTCTGCAGTTGGAACAAATTTGTTTTGAATGTTATTGAGGATCTCAGCCATTTCAGTTTGCATTGTTTGAGTGCAGGAATTCAAGACCCAAAGAACACTATTGAAAAAGAAATGAGGTTTGCAACAATATTGAAGATGTTATTTCTGGTGTTACTCTGAGTGTATATCCACACCGGGCGAGCTTGAAAATCATGCCCGGCCACGGTGGGATTCGAACCTACGACCTTTGGAATACTAGCCCAATACTCTTCCAACTGAGCAGGGGCGCACATTCGCAAAAAATTTGGGGGGGTGTTCTATGTGCTGGGACCGACTTTTGTAGTACTTGTGTTTGGTAAGAAAAGCCAACTATTTAAAGCGCATAGACGGTAAGACGGGGATAGTATTCCAAAAGTTTAAATAAACGTTCAGTTTTTCAGAACTTTTGCAGTGCTCTAAACTTTCGGATGGGGGGCGGGGGCAAAATTTTTATGGATTTCGAATGCGAGCGCCGTAGGCGCGAGGAAAATTTTGAATTTCTAGATTCATTTGAACGCTATTTTACGTATTTAGGACGAGGTTTGAAGAAAAGTTACAACCACAAAAAGGCATTTCTAAGTCGCCTAATGTTGTTAGATCGAAAAATGTTTATGTAAATAGTATTGTACACGCAAATACAACAGCAAAATAGCATGATGCCTTCGTTTTTGTAGAAGTCGGTCATGAGTGTTGCTTTGAGTGCAAATTCAAGTTCAAATGTGCTTTAAAGCAACCAGCATTTTTTACTGGAGTTAGGATTTTAGGTAGGCAAGACTTCAACTTTATTGGCAAACAGAGGAGATGAGTATCATTATTCACACATCGTACCCCCACCCCAATTTCTGCCCGGATTTCAGTTTTCCACAAGGGCAGTCCTTATGCCCATTGCAGAGCCCCCGAGCCCCCATCTTGGTTACTCCGCTGATTTACTTCTGCCTTCCAAAGTTTCAGCTTTTGCGACAAAACTAACAATGCGCATTTTAACTGCACCGCGGGGGCTTGAAGTAATCGGATCGCATTACGTTGGCTGAACTGTTGCAACACAGAAGTTGATTATTTGCTCTCTTGGTTTGTGTCAGTGAACTCTAATTTGTGTATATTCGTTTTTCTTTGTCTAATTCGTTTTTCTTATGTTTATGCAACTTCCATTTCCAGAATGTCCACCTATTACTTTTTTCGACACAAAATGATGATATCTTTCAGATTTTAGCCGGACCGACTTTTTCGTCCCCATTCAGGTTTTGGGACCGACTTTTTAGATATATTTCACAAAACATGGGGGGGTGTCACACCCCCCACCCCCCGAGTAAGTGATATTTCGGAGTAAGTTCGAGTAAGTGATATTTCGGAACAGTATCTAGTTCCTTCGATACCAATGTATTCTAGTAATATGAATTTTTTCTGTGTTGGTGTAGTGTACTCAGGTGAATATGTTATTTGTGGTGTTACTCTGAGTGTATATCCACACCGGGCGAGCTTGAAAAATATGCGGCCACGGTGGGATTCGAACCTACGACCTTTGGAATACTAGCCCAATACTCTTCCAACTGAGCTACGCTGTCAGGACGGTTCGAGTAAGTGATATTTCGGAACAGTATCTAGTTCCTTCGATACCAATATATTCTAGTAATATGAATTTTTTCTGTGTTGGTGTAGTGTACTCAGGTGAATATGTTATTTGTGGTGTTACTCTGAGTGTATATCCACACCGGGCGAGCTTGAAAAATATGCCCGGCCACGGTGGGATTCGAACCTACGACCTTTGGAATACTAGCCCAATACTCTTCCAACTGAGCTACGCGGTCAGGACGGTTCGAACCGTCACTCAGAGTAACACCACAAATAACATATTCACCTGAGTACACTACACCAACACAGAAAAAATTCATATTACTAGAATATATTGGTATCGAAGGAACTAGATACTGTTCCGAAATATCACTTACTCGAACCGTCCTGACAGCGTAGCTCAGTTGGAAGAGTATTGGGCTAGTATTCCAAAGGTCGTAGGTTCGAATCCCACCGTGGCCGCATATTTTTCAAGCTCGCCCGGTGTGGATATACACTCAGAGTAACACCACAAATAACATATTCACCTGAGTACACTACACCAACACAGAAAAAATTCATATTACTAGAATACATTGGTATCGAAGGAACTAGATACTGTTCCGAAATATCACTTACTCGAACCGTCCTGACCGCGTAGCTCAGTTGGAAGAGTATTGGGCTAGTTTTCCAAAGGTCGTAGGTTCGAATCCCACCGTGGCCGGGCATATTTTTCAAGCTCGCCCGGTGTGGATATACACTCAGAGTAACACCACAAATAACATATTCACCTGAGTACACTACACCAACACAGAAAAAATTCATATTGAAGATGTATAAAAAAACACATTGACAACAACAGTAGCTTGTCAATCATGCATGAAAATCAATTAAGTACATACCACTTCAGACTTCTTTTTCATTTCATCTGAATGATTATGACTGATATGCCAAGTAACTGCATTGGTGAAAGATTCATATGCTGGTAGGTATTGCACAATAATTCTTGGAATAAGGAGTATCAGATCATTTAACAAAGCTGAGTGGACTTCTGCAGTTGGAAGAAATTCATTCATATGTAGGTCATCCAAACTTTTCTGTGGGCTCTCAGATGGCAATGTATTGCATGACACCCTATCCTTGACAGCATATATTTGAAACCAGTGTAATGACTTGTTCGTAGTTTTATGATTCTGAATTCTCGCTGTCTGTTCGAGATCAAGGTTGTTTCCAACTATCCTATTTTAAAATGTAGAAAAATGAATAGTGTAAAACATATCTATTATATCTTAAACTTTTGTGAAATGTTGTTGACCATTCCGCTAAAGACAAACTGTTAAATATATACATCTTGGCGCACGTTATAATTAGACATAAGAACCTACGGATTTGGGAATTTCCTGTTTAATGTGCTAATTAATCAGTAGCTAGTGGTTTCATGCATTTTACTGTCGAACGCCTGCAAATTATAACGAGCGAATAGAGAACATTTAAATTAGGATTTTCCTTTATGATCCCTAGTTACATAGAAAGAACCTTTATACTGTTAGGCTGGATTTCAAAGTACTGTCGCGTTTTTCATACGCGCGTGTCAGGGAAAAGTTTAAATCCAGATGTGATTACCTCAACGAATACAGTTTAACGCGACAGTCGAAATCCAAAGCTGGATAAGGCTTGGTTATATACGTGGATAAGGATTGGATATATACGTATAAATACGGTGTTTACTGTAATTTACCCTTACGAAAATCAACACTATTTTAACCCTATTTTATCCCTATTTTACTTTCTATTTTATTCCTATAGAAAAGCTATTTTATTTTTAACCCTATCATATTGCTATCACATATACAAATCCTATATTAAACCTATTAGAACTCTGTTTTAATTGTATTTTATGGCTATTATAAATAGGTTTTTTGAAACAAAAAATAGCCTATTTTAAATAGATTTTATTTTTCTGAATCGGTGAAGCACAGATTAAAATAGGTTTAAAATAGGATAAAATATATTTAAAATAGAGTGCAAAATAGAAATAAAATAATAAAGTAAAGTGAAACATTGGTAATAAAATAGATTTTAAATATACATAAAATAGGTAAAAAATAGTCGAAAATACATATAAAATAGTGGATCAACTGCAGTATATTAACTAAAAATAGTAATAAAATTACTGCAAAAATAGTAATAAAATAGTTTAAAAATATGAATAAAATACTGATAAAACAGTAATAAAATAGTAGAATTTAAAATAGTGATAAAATAGCGAACAAAATAGTAAAAAAATAGTTCAAAATTCTTATAAAATAGTATAAAAATAGTAATAAAATTGTAATAAAATAGTCGAGAGTCATAACAGTTCTAAAATGATTAATAAAATAGTTATAAAATAGTCAGAAAGTAGTAATAAAATAGTTATAAAATAGCAATAAAAGAATAGTAAAATAGTCATAAAATAGCAATAAAATAGTCAGAATGTAGCAATAAAATAGTTATAAAATAACAATAAAATACCTAATAGTATATAAAAATAGTAGTTTATCCCTATTTTACTTTCTATTTTATTCCTATAGAAAAGCTATTTTATTTTTAACCCTATTATATTGCTATCACATATACAAATCCTATATTAAACCTATTAGAACTCTGTTTTAATTGTATTTTATGGCTATTATAAATAGGTTTTTTTGAAACAAAAAATAGCCTATTTTAAATAGATTTTATTTTTCTGAATCGGTGAAGCACAGATTAAAATAGGTTTAAAATAGGATAAAATATATTTAAAATAGAGTGCAAAATAGAAATAAAATAATAAAGTAAAGTGAAATATTGGTAATAAAATAGATTTTAAATATACATAAAATAGGTAAAAAATAGTCGAAAATACATATAAAATAGTGGATCAACTGCAGTATATTAACTAAAAATAGTAATAAAATTACTGCAAAAATAGTAATAAAATAGTTTAAAAATATGAATAAAATACTGATAAAACAGTAATAAAATAGTAGAATTTAAAATAGTGATAAAATAGCGAACAAAATAGTAAAAAAATAGTTCAAAATTCTTATAAAATAGTATAAAAATAGTAATAAAATTGTAATAAAATAGTCGAGAGTCATAACAGTTCTAAAATGATTAATAAAATAGTTATAAAATAGTCAGAAAGTAGTAATAAAATAGTTATAAAATAGCAATAAAAGAATAGTAAAATAGTCATAAAATAGCAATAAAATAGTCAGAATGTAGCAATAAAATAGTTATAAAATAACAATAAAATACCTAATAGTATATAAAAATAGTAGTTTATCCCTATTTTACTTTCTATTTTATTCCTATAGAAAAGCTATTTTATTTTTAACCCTATTATATTGCTATCACATATACAAATCCTATATTAAACCTATTAGAACTCTGTTTTAATTGTATTTTATGGCTATTATAAATAGGTTTTTTTGAAACAAAAAATAGCCTATTTTAAATAG